CACAGACATAACCATAGTTTCAGCTGGGAAATTGTCAGCATTTTAGACCAAGCTAAATCCAAAAATGCCAGGGAATTCCTGGAAGCTTGGTATTCAGACAAGGTAGCCATCAACAGGCATATAGAGATAAACAACATCTACCCACTATTCAAAAGAGTCAATAAAAAGGAAACAAAAGACCAGAACATCTCCTCACCAGCAATCATCACCCAGATAAGCAGAGATTAACATCAAGATTATCACCAGACATACAAACAAACAGTAAACAATACCCTAATCAAGGAACTACCAGAAAACAACAACACCACCAACGCAGGCAGGGCAAGCCACTATATATAAACAGAGAGCAAACTCCACTCCATTCTAGCACTGAAGATGTTACCTAGCCGGGTAACAAAACGTTTGCAAGAAAACAACCAAGCTCAGAAAACAACCAAGCTCAGGAAACCCCAAGGACTCCACAGTTCAACCCTAGGCTACACACACTCTCTTCTATAAATACAGTAGAAAACAGCAACCCAAATCTATGCCTGCTTGTTTTGAGTTCAACTTGCTCCCAAGTAATAATGCTTCTGTCTGTCTGTCTGTCTACCTAATAGAAGACTCTTGGCAGCTCACAATAATAAACAAAACATAATAATCAAAGAAAACAACTCTTACAAATGCATTAAAACATCCCAAAACCATACATGGCATCAGGTTCCAAAAGCCTTCTGGAAAAGCTGTTTTCAACTTCTTCCCAAACGCCAATAATGCTGGAGATAGGTAGACCTCCAACAGGTCATTTCAGAGGTGCTGAAGCCTTTCATGGCATAGGGCCAGATTATCCTGAGGGACCATCTATCTCCAGCTATATCTCTCAGTCCGGTGAGATTGGGCAGAATGGGCATGCTTTGGATCCCATTGACTGGGCAGTATCATCTAGACCCTAAGTTGATGGTTGAGACCCTGCTGGATAGGGTTTTTTGTTGATATGGCTGGCTTTGGGGTGCTTAGGAATTCTTTGTTTTTACCATACTACATTGTTCTAAAACCAATTTTATTGTTGATTAAATAAATACATTCTGGATATTTTTCTCTAATAATTTCTGCTTCAATTTTGGTGATTACTTGAGGACAATCATTAGTTGTGAACCAATATCATCTGAAAAAATGCATCAAGGACCTATGTTTCCATCTGACCTACATCTCTTGACAAATAAAATGAACCATGATTATCTCAGAAGAGAGATTACAATTTTTTTCCTGAAGTATCAAGTTGCATAACCAGCAAAAGGGAACCCCAGGCCTACAAGCAGATGTCCTTGGGATGTTTCTTAAACCAAAGTATTTACTGGACATTAGGATAAAATGAAGTTCAGGAAACCTTAGGAAAAAAATCTCAAAACCAGCATTTCATTTTAAAGTGGAACAGCTAGAGGTATTGTAAGAAAGGGACTGTTCTTCCTTCCACCCTATTTAGGAGGGAGGGGGAAGGAGCCAAGACATCAGTGAGACAGCAGCTTTTACAAATAGCTCCTCCAAATTCATTTATACCTATCTTTATTATCATCTGGGGGTTTAATTTTATGCCATTTACAACTAATCCCCTTCTCTTCAGGATAATAACTGGCCAGAGAGATAAACTTACTGGAGTGATAAGATGGGGAATCGACAAAAACAGTCTGGAGAAGGACAAGACTATATTAAAGAGCAAAGGCTTCCATCTTATTTCACGCTAGAATGTTTCTTCTAGGAAAAAATAAACTTCTTTTTTTGGAGGAGTGTGGCTGGAGGAATTCTAACAGCAGCAATGCCCTACTAGGGGTACTGCAGGAAGGCTTGTGGGATAGCATTTGGGAACAGCAGTATTTCTCACTTCACTAGCAGGTCAGAGGAGTGGTGCCAATTCACTGTACAGGCAGTCCTCAGTTGACGATGGTAAATGGTAATGGACCAGCAACTCCATCTTGTGACTTCCTGAAGGCTTCCCCACTGACTTTACTTGTCGGAAGCCGGCTGTGAAGGTTGCAAATGGTGATCATGTGACCGTGGAATGCTGTGATTGTCATAATTGCCAAGCACCTGAATCTCAATTGAGTGACCACAGGGACACTGTGACAGCAGCAACTTCAAGGATCAGTCATAAGTTTCCTCATTCAGCACTGTCATAACTCTGAACAATCGCTGAGCGAGTGGTCACTAAGCAAGGACTATCTGTACACATCAACAGCTTAATGCATGTATAATTCATCACATGCACAGACTATGCTGAACATGCATACTTCTAATACAGCTTTAATAAAACACATTTTCAAGTAGGTCTGAATGAAACCAGGACATGGAGATAAGCTCTGCCCCATTACTTGTCAAAATTTCAGAACCACTTTGGCCAACATCTATGACAAAGACCAATCATGAATGGAACAGCACATACTTTTGAATAAGCATTCCTTCTTTGTCTCACTTTTAGGCGTAGCTACAAATTCAACAGGAGCTCATTTTCACTGGGGAAGCCTTTACATGCCCTCCCACCAACAGCTAGAGCATAAGAGGAGGAACTGATTCAGCCTCAGAGGTCCCTGGGAGATGGGACTTCACCCTCACTGTCCAGAATGGCCACCCTTGCCTTCATGCAGGGCCAGACACTCTGTGGCTGGGCTCTGCTTTTTCTCATTTTAAAACTGGCCTATAAAAACCATCAGTGGTGTGATGGTAAACAGTGCCATTGCTGGGAAGGACAAAAATTAACTGCCCTTACTTGGTGGGGTGGAGTTTATATGGTTGGGTTTTTTTGTAGAATAGATGCATTAAGCCTCGTGAGGCATACAGGTGTCCTGGGTATCTCCAGAACCGGAGCCCCAGCTGCGCAGACAAATGGCACCTGCTGCAGTCAGAACCACGTGCTTAAGGGAAAGATGCCTTATTCGGACTGCCCAGTAAATACATGAAACCAGGGAGGAAGTGGAAAGCACAAATACAATGTCAGGATTTTTCTTTTTATGCTATTTTGGGTTCAGAGGGAGAAATCACACACTGGTTTAAGTGGTAGAACCTTGTGATTTTACACTACAAGTATCACTCTGGATTGCAGGCTTGTGACTTCATACAAAAGTACCTGTCAAAAGTGACAGGTACTTTTGATTTCATACGAACAAAGTTCAGCGGCAAACATAAAGAGCACACCAAAATATATACCTAGCTTTTGCTTCTACATGATAAACTGCATGATAATTTTAGCACCATTAACCGGGAAAGCTCCCCAAAACGATCGTTTGTATCCAAGCAAAATACCGATCTGCTCGAGTCACATGCTCACACAGAGAAAAGGCAGGCAAGCGCCCCAGAAGAGTTACACGTGGTTCACAAAACAAGTAGGTTGATGAGTCTTAATATCCAAAGCACAGAAACGTAGAGGGAGACTGGAAGACGGTTCGCGGCGTCTTTCACTACCAGGTTCTTGCTATGTCTCTTGCTATCGTCAAGCTCGGCTTAGCCGCATATTCTTTAACCTACAAGCTTCATTGCATCATTTTCTGAGGTCCAGTACAGCTACAGTACTCAAAGCGAGAGAGATGCAGATACTGACTAAACGTGCATCGAGAAGCAAATCGATACTTTTGATTCTTAATTTAATTCATCCGGGCTTGAAAAGACTTTAGCTCGCCTTCAGAAGTTCAATGAAACCCTTCCCCTTTTGATATTTATAGGGGGGAACTAAAAAAACAAGAAATGCCAGGTGCAATATATCTGAAGTACTAAAATTCATTGAGCCTACGGTTCCTGTACAGCATATGTAGTAAGTCCCCTCCCGACACAGAATACCCTAAGTAAGTAGGTAAGGAAGAAAAAAATTAAATAGCCCATCCAGGAGGACGCGGAGTATAGCGGAGCACGCGCGCTCTGCGATTCCCAGACCTAGAAAGAGCAAAGTTAGAATCTTTGCGCCCTGCAAGCCCTCGGGACCTCACAAATGCCTCCTGGAAACACGCACCGTGGGATTCCTGGCTACCCCGCTGCTCGGCCAACCCGTGAATCGTGGGCGACATCCTTTGGGAACAATCTTCCAAATGCAGAAGGGGAGAATTCCAGCTCCCGGGCTAGAATGGCGGGAGATACGGCAAGGAAAGCGCCTGCGTGCGCGTCACTGGCTGCGCAGACGCACATGATCCTGCTTTAATGTGCCCGCGGTACTGTAGAAAAGTTACGTTGCTCTGAATGTTGCAACGAGGGAGGCGTGGAAGTGGTGTGTTGGAGCTCCGAACCTTTGGACTGCTGTGTGTTCATGTAATTTTTCCAATCATTAAACGCGTCCTGTTTCCAGGCTTCCGCTGTATTTCCAGAAGTCATGTCTCAAGCGGTTTATTTATGGACAGATCTTTTTTTTCAACCAAAGGGACAATGATAGAAACACACAGCGGGCTCTTCCATATTTGTGTGAGTTTGCAAAACAAAAACACCATTTGGGAGGGCGATTAGGATCAAGATTCAGACCTTGGAAACTCTTTTCCAGCTTTAATCTTTTAAGGGAGTAAGGCGTAGGGAAGGAAGTTAAAATTCCTTCCGTGGCCTCAGTCCGAATGGAAGGAGGGCATGATTGCTTATTGCAATGGCTTAATCTGGTTTCATTTGGTGCTTTATCCGCCCTAATAACACAAGCCTTCGGGGGTCTAACTGCAGACTTTCTGGAGTGGTTTTTTTTTTCCCCCTGCAGCCGGATCCAGCCCATTTTCTTTGCAGGGTTTTCCCTGCACATCAAATTTGGCCCCATTCGGTTCAGTTTGGGGGGAGTTATCCTGCTTTTCGTCATCCCGAAGCCTTCTTCATAGTTTCCAGCATTTATTTGCGTTGGAAAAGACTAAAAAAGGCTTCCAAAAGTATTTTCCTTTTAAATTAAAAACTGAATGTTTAGAGCAGTGTTTCTCAACATTAGCAACTTTAAAGATGTGTGGACTTTAACTCCCAGAATTCCCCAGCCAGCTTGCTGGCTGGGGAATTCTGGGAGTTGAAGTCCATACATTTT